CCCTTTTTTTTTTTTTTTTTTGAGACAGGGCCTCCTCGAACTCGCTATGGATCCCAGGCTGGCCAGGAACTCACCAAGTGGGACATGGGGTCCCTGCTGTGTTCAGCACCTTCCCCTTCCCAACCACCTTGCTCCAGGCCTTACCTGCAGACAGCCTGGGCTGCCATATCCCCTCTTCCCCCAAGAGTGAGAATCTGTCAGAGATGCCTCTTGGCCCAGAAAGGTACATGTGCCCCCCTGCCTGGCATCATCTGCACTGCTCAGATCAACCAGCCATGGCAGAGGAAGGGTGTTGGAAGGTGGCCTTGATCCTGGTTGGCATTGCTGTGTCCTCTGCAGAGGCAAGGAGAGCCTGGCCAGGTGCAACCCCTTGAAGACTGCCTGGTAGTGCTCATGGGCCCAGGCCATAGAGGGGCGCCAACTTCTGGCACCTGCCGTGGAGCACACCAGCCTGTCCCTAAACTCAGCGAGGCTGGCGAGGCTGATGATGCCTGGCCACCCAGCCCCACGCTACAGCAAGCAACCAGCGAAGACACCCTGTCCAGCCAGCGGCATGGATGAGGTCTCCACCTGGGTGATCAGTTATCATCAGGGTGATGGACCTGGGCCCTAGGCCCTGGCTCGGTGGCCAGAAAAAAAAAAAAAAACATAAAAAAGAAAGAGGAGTCACTGGAAGAAAAGACGAGGAAGCAGAGGTCCCTTGAGGTCACAGGGCAAGGGGTGAGGCAAAGGACAGGGGCTAGGTGGGAGGGATCCTGAGGGCTGAGCTCCTCTGGGGACCCCTGGGTTCCTCCAGCCCTGCACTGCAGCTGGAGGCATCATCCTCAGCATCGCCTCTACCCCACACCCCACAGTGCTGGGGCAGAGGCCTGCACAGCTCTGGGCCTCACCTCACTCTTCTCCAACCAACACAGCTCTCCCGCCCCAAGACGACACATGTCCCCCGTCCCCCGGAGAGCACCGGGGACCGCAGGGTGCCAGCATACAGGCACCCAGTAGCTGGAAACCAGCATCCAGGAAAAGGAAGTCTGCCTCTGGCCCAAATCAGACCCCCTCCCAGCGAGGGCTCCGGTCAGTACCAGCAAGGGAGGGAAGGGGAAGCCTTGGCCAGCCTGGGGAGGAGACAGGTCAGGCTCCTGCCCCTGTACCTGCCCCTGACAGAAGCGTGATTCTCAGAGTATTCAAGCAACTGATCCTGACTCTTTCCTGTTGTAGTCTCTGAGGACACTTTGCCCCTTATCACCTGGAAAAAGGTGGGCATTTCGAAGCGGCCTACTTATGGGCCGCACCCACCCCATGGAACAAGTACCCAGGACAAGGATGGGCTCTTCAAGCATACGTGAAGAGCTCTGCCTGGGGCCAGCTGCTCCTTCACCCTGCCCTGGAGACTGAATGAGGTGCAGCTGGGAATGGGGAAACAGAGGGGGGCAGATGAGGACCACATGGGACAGGAACTCAGAAGCTCAGAAGGCCAGGGCTCCTGAGACCCACAAATTCAGGGGTGTCTGCTTTCATCATGGGGGTGGAGTAAGCCCAAGAGGCATAGCCACCCCCGGGCACAGCACTATTGCCAAAACCCTGCCCAGACCTGTGTCAGTCTCGGCCTTGCCTGTGGGGAGTGGAGCCACAAGCGAGACAGTGCTCCTGTCCACACCAGGGCGAGGGCATGGTGAAGCCCTGGAGACTGACTGGCCTTCCAGGAGGGTGGCTGGGGTGGGGAGGGAATCTAGGTTTGGAACTTAGATTTAATAACAAAACCCCATTTGTGTTTTTATGGTTGTATTGGAAATCAGACCTCATCTGAATGTGGGTCGACTTTGACTAAGATTCAACCAGCTCCCTTCCTCCTCCTCCCCAAATCGCCCTGCTCTCCCACTGGCTGGGGAAAGGGTTTTCCTCTACATCCAAGACCCCTCCCTAGGAAAGACAGGGCTAGAGCAAAGTGCAGTTTGTGTACCCTTGCCAGTGACCTTCACACTTGCCAAGTCCCCCTCCTAGGAGAGAGGCCAGGGCCTTGGGGTAGCACCCAAAGAAAACCTCCCAGTTTAGAGTAGGTAGCTGGGCCCTGCAGATCAGGGCTCAAAAACTGACCAACTAAGTCCTCAGCTGCAAGGTGAGAAAACCCTTGCCAGGGGTAGGCACCCTGGTGTCCCCACTGTCCTGTTCCAAGTCAGGGTGGGGGGCTCTCAGGGAAAAGCTCAGTGAAGGTCAGGGAACCCCCCCAGATTTATGGGATCTCCCTGGGTGCTCTTCCCTCAGAGCTGGTGGTTTATTCATACTTTTACCTGTCTGAGCATCTGCCAGCAAGGATGGTGCACACCTGTAATCCCAGCAATCTGGAGTGCAGGATGGTCACAAATTCAATCAACCCGGGCAGTTCAGCAATTTAGCAAGACCTTGCCTCCAAATAAAAACAGGTTGGGATCAAGAGGTAGCTTAGTGAGAGGGCCTTGAGCTCAATCCCCAGTATGGCAGAATTTCTCCTTTCCCCTTTAAAATTATTTTTCCACTGACCTTATTAGGATGTGAATTTAGATTCAGGTGGTCTGTAAACCCACTAGTCTTTTTAAATATATGGAGGAGCCGGGCGTGGTGGCACACACCTATAATCCCAGCACTTGGGAGGCTGAGGCAGGATCACTGTGAGTTTGATACTAGCCTGGGCTACATAGTGAGTTCCAGGTCAGTCTCAACTACATAGTGAGACCCTGTCTCAACCAACAACAACAACAAAATTAAATATATGGAGGATATGCCTGTAGCTATAGATTTCTTTAAGCAGTAACTGCTCCTACAGCTGGGGAAAAGAGCTCTGCTCAGAAAATGATTTTTCTGACATTAAGATTTGTTGATTATTCTTAAAAGGTTTCACTTCTCTGGAAATAAATGCAGAGAAGTCTCAGCTAATCATTTACTACTGCATTCTTGTAGAATTAGGACAAGTCATAGTAAGTGATTAAATGACTTTTCCTTTGAAAATAAATGATAGGGGCCAATGATTTAGCTCCATGGTGCCCCACCTGCCTGGAAAGCACGAGGTCCTGAGTCGGATTCCTGGGACAAAATTAATTAATTAATTAAATTAAAATTAAAAATATTGATAGTGGGGTTTTGCTTTTAGCTGTTCACACTTTAATGGATTTTTCAGTACTTCTTCCTATAGCCCATAATGGTAAACATAGAAATATATAAGGAGACTTTTTCAGAGTTACAAAATCATGTTGGTGGTTGTAAATCTGCAAATTCTAAATTCTAGAGTGTTGTGATTTGGTTTGGCCTTAATATTATTAAGCAGGGTCATTGTCAAGAACATAAGGAAAACTGAGTTGTTTTAAGAATTCTGAATGAAAATAGTTTTGGTATAATACTGTTTACTCTTTCATGGATTATTTTCAAGTAGTGGTACTACTAATTGGTAAACATTTCATTTCAATTGTTATGGATTCTAAATAAATTGTATTCTCTGGCCGGGCGTGGTGGCACACGCCTGTAATCCCAGCACTTGGGAGGCTGAGGCAGGAGACCAGCCTGGGCTACACAGTGAGTTCTAGGTCAGCCTCAACTACATAGTGAGACCCTGTCTCAAAAAACAAACAAACAAACAAAAAGTTGTATTCTCTGGAATAACTAAATTACTTCGTGGTTTAAATTTGGCTCCTGCCTGACAAGATGTATTCAGCACATATCCCCGACCCGACCCTGGCTTGACTGTCCTGTGGAGACAGAAGCAGGAATGGCGACAGGAGCCAGACAGGGCCAGAGCTTGTGAATCATGTTTGGACACCAATGACCTGGCAGTATTGTTTGGCCAGCCGGCAAGCCAACTCTAAGCGTATTTCCCTCTGTGAAACTGACTAACCTTTAATAAACTAGTAAGCACACACGAGAAAAAATGTGAGGGTTACTGTGGGGTGGTGGTTGGGTGTCATTTCAGCTGCGCAGCTTTGATCACTGAAAAGGAAAGCCTCAGTCACTTTCCTCAAGCTTTGGGGTAATAATTATGGATTCACCGCCAACCTTCCAGTATTAACACATTTCTTAAATCCTCGACTCCGGCTCTAGAGTCCTCTGAAAACCGTAGAAGGAACTCCGCGCTCCCATCTTGCTCTAGGCCAGCGGTTCCACCCAGAGAAATTTAGGCATCTCCTAGCAACGCGCGGACCCGGGCCAAAACCCCGCCCGCTAAGCGGCCTCCGCGGTGCACGCTGGGAAGTGTGTCTTCCCCGCCTGTTCTCCCTCGAGTCTCCGACTAGGGATGAGCGCACCGTGGACTACAGCTCCCAGGATCCCAAGCGCCATCTTCTTGGGCGGCCCGGAAGGCGAACTGGGCGTCAGGGGCTAGCAAGTTGGAGCTGTTGAGGAATCGGGCTGAGCTGGTACCTGCGACTTTGGGTGGTACAGGTCCTGACTTATGCGCCTCCTGGGGAACAGCGCGTAACGGGATTTGAGGGGCTGAGAGGACCACAGCCTGCGCTCCGGGCCAGACAGCTTGCTTGACCTGCGGGGCGTGATACATTGAGGGCCGCAGTCTCGGAACGGACTGGGGATTCTGGGAAGGACTGTGGCATAGGGCCGGTCTTGAAAATTTTAAAATAACTGGCATGTACTTGGCTGAGTAGATGGGATGACGCGTCTTTACCCTGGGGCCCTAGGGACTTTACTAACTGCTGCTAGAAAATTCCCGCCGTGTGGGAAGCTGGGCATGATGGATAGGAAATGGCACAAGTTCCTCGATGTGTTATGAGCCAAAACGAATTTGGACTCGTAGGTCTTCAAAGTTGGCGTTGCAGAGAAAGAGAAACACAAGCACTCCTAGTGGCCTCTGTCTGGAACCCCAGAAAAGTGTTTCATTCTAATAACCAAACAGGCCAACACCTTGGAGAGAGATGACTGCCTCTGGCTCCATTCTTCCCAGGCTCGCTGAAGGTGGGTTTTGGTAAAGTGGAGGAGGAAGGAGAGTGGTAGTTTTGAGGAAAACTATTCTAAGTGGGGTGAGGCCGGTTCACAGGGAAAATTTTCCGCCAGTGGAAATTGTGTCAAGGAGTAACCAGAGATCACACTCAATCCCCGTGCTGAATGCTTCCCAGAGAGTAGCCATGAGTGCTGCCTGGGAAAGGTTTTGGCCACAGCGTCAGGATCCTACCACCTTTCTGGAATGGGGTCCTGCCACTTCCCAATCCTCTTTCAGGGGTGGAAATGCCAACCACTGCATTTCAAGTCTGGAGAAACCTGAGAAAGCCCATTAAATTATCCAGAGCTTTGGCTTTTCATCAAAATCTCTCCCCTCTATGGAATTTTTAACTCTTCAAGTGGGTAAAGTGAGAGACGTATTGATAACCCTGGAAGTCATGCACTGTTAAACTGCACCTCCCCTTCCTCTCTCTCCCCATTCCTTCTGTCTTGTAATCCGCTTCCCGATCTCTTCATTAGGGAAGATGAGCCCGCGGCGGTCAAGATTCATGTGACCTGGACAATGCTGTGAAAGAGCTGCCTGTAGCCCCCAGAGCCCTAAGATGGTAGGCAGAATACAGAGTGGAATGTGTGGAAATGTTAAACACCACCCTTCACCCCACTCCTGGACCCCAAAGATCTTGACTGCATGGAATACTGTGGGGACTGGGTGACAAAGGACTGAGGTGTGGTCTCCAGAGAAAAGCGATAGGAAGTAGCTTTGATATAAAACTTAAGCAATAAGCAGGGTTTATTCTGAGTCTCTGAATGTCCTGCTGGGAATGTTTTATCATCACGAGTATTGAAGATTTAGGTACATGGAATGGATAAAACATTTCTAGTCACTTTACATCCTGGCTGGGAGAGTTTACAGGTGACATCTGGAAATTGGGGAAGAGAGACTTACATCTGTTCATTGTTTCACTGCTGGTTAGTAGGGGCAGTTTCCATACTCTGAATAAATCCATTTAGAAACTGTAGGAAAGCATAAAGGACTCCTGTTTCTAAATGCCACTAGTGTTCCTTCTGTGTTGACCTGGCAAAAAGACAATGCAATTCATTCTCCATTTCCCATTTCAGCACATGTTCACCATTTGATTTTTGTTAATGTGGTTTGTTTTTCCCATTTTAGGCACCAAAAATCAAGAAGGGTTTGAAAGGTAAGTGGAGAAATGAAACATTATTACCCTTAAGCCAGATATATATCTTTTCCCTGTGGTTGCAAAATAATTTAGATATACCTGCCTTTAAGTGTTCTGGTGAGGAGCTGGGGGTGTAACCTCATGGTAGAGCACTTGGCTAGCACTCGAGAATTGGATTCCATTCCCAGCTCCTTAAAAAAAAAAAAGTTTTTGTTAAGAATCTTGCTGTTTCTCTTTTTTTTTTTTTTTTTTTTTTTTTTTTT